CTTCCAATATCTAACTCACATCTGAAAAAACCTACTTATCAAAAAATGTTCAAATGAGATCAAAACAGAGAAAAATTCAAAAAACAATGTTTTAAAGCTTAAATGATAACTAAAATATCACATTATGTTGAATCTCTAACTTATTAGAATCTAATGGATAAAAGACACAAAAATACCTATAAAAATTTTATAGATATACCTTTAAATGAGTGAAATATGACATCTATGTAATAAAAAACCTACAAAACAAGATAAAATAGTGAGACATATAAAAATGAGTAACTGATATAATGTTTGGTGTTATCAAATTTAAATAGTTTAGAAAGAGGTTAGAGAATTTTAAAGTGAGAAATATTATATTTTTGTTGCCTTCATTTGAGAGGAAGAAAGAGAATGTGTAATTTTTTATTTATATATGAAGATAAAAATTACAATTAGGTTAAATATTTTTAATACATAAGACTTTAGAAAACTTGGATGAAAGTCTTCCAAGAAGTCTTCTAGACCCTAAATTTACTATTTTTCCAGAAGACTTACTATTCGCCTAGAAGACTTACTTTAGGCGTGAAACCTAAATTATTCTAATATTTTAAGCGGAAAACTGTTGTTAAGTCATCCAGAGTCTTCTACAGCATTATATCTTCAAAAATTTAAGTCTTCTAAAACTCTAAAATCAAATATAGAACTAAATCACATACAAAAACTTTATTAAACTTAAAAATAACTTATAAAGTGTTTAATATACACAAAACTAAACACATATAAGTCAAATTTAGTTCTTTTTATATAAAAAAAAATAAGGTTCCACAATCTAACCTTAAAAATACATACAATACTATAACATAGTTACCAAACCCTAAACAAAAAAAAAATCATGACTAACTTACATTCACTCATCTATGTCGAAAACAATTCAATTTTATTAAATATCAATTTATATCACTTGCAAATGTCTATAATTAGATGATTATGATCTTTTCCCTATCAAATATTTTTTATGAAATTTATAAATTATTTTAACAACTAATACACTAAAAGACTTTCACTGAAAGACTTAAAGAAGACTTATTGGAAGACTTAATTTTAGGCGGGAAACTTAAATTCTTTTAACATTTTAAGCGGGAAAATGCTGTTAAGTCATCCAGTAAGTCTTATAGTGCATTATATTTTCGAAATTTAAGTTTTCCAAAACACCAAAATCAAATATATAACTAAATCACATACAAAAACTTCATTAAACCTAAATTAAACTTATAAAATGTTTTATCTACACAAAACTAAAAAAATATAACTAAAAATTACTTTAAGAAATAAATAAATGTTAAGATTCCACAATCTAACCAAAAACACATACAATACTACAACATAGTTACTAACTTACTAACTTACATTTATTTAAGTTACATTCACTCACCTATCTTGAAAACAATTCAATTTTGTTAAATGTAAATTTATATCATTTAAAAATGTCTATAATTAGAAGATTATAATTTTTCCCATATCAAAATATTTCTTATGAAATTTATAAATTATTTTTAAGATATATAGCATGAGAAGAATTTCCTGAAAGTCTTGATCATAAGGGGATGTTTGTAATTTCACTAGCTTTTTGAGTTATTTTTGCATTTGATTTAAGTTGGGATACACTTTTGCTTTTAAAATCAAGTTTTGAGTCATATTTGAAAAATCCCCCAATATTTTTTATATTATTAACTAAATATAAATTATTTATTTATAATTGTTTAAAAAGTTTTATATATTTTAGCTGCAAATGCTATCCCAAAAGTTTCATATGAGAGCATTGAGCAAAGAGCATTTGAAGAGCATTAGCATTTGGTAAATGCTTTCTAAATGCTTATTTGGTAAACATTGATTGGATAATATAGTGTAATGCTAATGCTAATGCTTTATCAATCAAGCCCTTAGTAGTTAATCTTTAAACTTAATTTTCTTTTGGAAAACTAAGGTTCTGAATAGAGATGGCAATTATAGACCTGGACCGTGGGCCTAGCCCGCGAAGGACTGTCGTGGGACGGTATTGGGACAAGGTTTTCTAGTTCCGTAAATTTTCAGGCCTCGTGGGATGGGTCTAAGCGAGACTGGGCCCTTTGCGGGATGGGCCGAAACAAGTCATGTGGGATTATAAGGACCCACATTTTTTTCTTCATTTCTTGTTTTATCTGGAAAAAAATAAGATAGAGAGTGAGAAGAAAGCGATTCATGTGACTCCCCCAAGAAAACGTAAGGAGCTCCGGCGATGATGATTCAACCTTCGTAGATAATGATTAGAGCTCTGATGATGATGCTTCCAGCTCTGGCGATGATGGTTCGAGCTATGATGGTGTTTTGATTGTTTTGGTTTTCTGTTTTTGTTTTATTTGGAATTGACAGTTTGGATTTGGTGTTTAGTTTTATTTAATTTTTGGATTAGTAAACTAAGTATTGGTTATGAACTTGTGAGTTATAAGTTAACAAAAAAAATATCTTATGCAACATCAAAAGTTGGGTCCTATCGGAGACGTGCTTTCTCCCTCAAACAACCATGTCATCTCATATGTCCTTATGGTTCAACAACGTAACAAAACTCATGTAGAGGAGATTATAGTTACCAATGTTGTTAATGAGTATTCTCTAAATACGGTGGAGATGTGAATGTATGACATAAGCTACTTTGAATTCTGTCTTAATGGTTAAAGTGGTAAGAATTGGAAAGCGCGTTTTACATATAAATAACGGTGTTTATACATCTTGGGAGTGTTTTTAGGATCTATTTGCGTTTATGTAGTACTAAGATGTTGAGATTTGCTTACATATTAGTTCATGATAAAAATATTCAAGAATATGCACTGTCCGCGGGCCGACCCGCGAAGGTTTACTTTTTGTGCGGTACAAGTTTGATCAGCTATTCTGGAGACCGCAGCCCATGCGGACCTGACCCGTATTGATCCACTTGAAGATCAACCCTCTGCGATACGGGACGGAACGAGAATGGGAAAACTTGTTTGTCATCTCTAGTTTTGAATGGGATAACAGGAGAAGAGCAGTTCTTCTACACATGTAATTTTCTACACTGAAATCATCATTCACGTTTTCATGTTTTTAAAATTTAGTTAGCGAGAAATTTCTATACAGTTCAATATTTTTTGAAATAAAAATAAGAGATTTGCATTCTTCCGCACATGTAATATTTCCACAGTAAAATCACAATTCATGTTTTTCTGGTTTTAAACTTTAGTTAGCTGAAAATTTGCACGAATTCAATTTTTAATTTTTTTTTGTGGAAAAGGCAATATGTCTGCATGCATATCTCATTCGTTTGCCTTCCGTGGTGTTGATCTGTTTTTTTTTCCTTTTGACCAATAGATGATTTTGTTACAAAAATGTAACTTTAAAATATATTTATCTATTTTTATATATACAATATTTTATTTTACTTAGAAGTTTAATTTTAAATTAACTTAAAAACTTCTTTGTGTTTAAAAAAAAGTCTTTTAAGTTAATATAATTTCGACAAACTAAGATTTTGAATGAGTTAGCAGGAGAAGAACAGCTCTTCCCCACATGCAGTTTTCCACACCTAAATCACTATTCACGTTTTTCTGTTTCTAAAGTTTAATTAGTGAGAAATCTTTATGCAGTTCAATTTTTATTTTATTTTTGTGGAAAAAGCAGAAGATTTGCATTCTTCCGCACTGAAATCACCATTCATATTTTTCTGTCTTTAAAATTCAGTTACCGGAAAATCTATATGCAATTCAATATTTTCTGTTTTTAGTGGGAAAAAATAGAAGATCTACACATCTACTAACCTTTAATGGTGTTGATTTGCGTTTTTTCCTTTTGGCTAATAGATGATTTTGTTACAAACAAATAACTTTAAAATACATTTATTTGTTTCTATAAATATAATATTTTATTTTACTAAAATATTTAACAATAAAAATTATTATGACTATTTCTTTTTCTTTTATTTTTGTCATATATGTTTTAAATTTATTTAAATTATTAAATTTATATAATTTGTGTTTTAATTACAATATTTTATTACTATTGCTCTCTATTTATTTTTATTTTTATTTTTATTTTAATCATATAATTTTTATATTTATGCAAATTATTATATTAGAATAATGTGTGATTTTATTATAATATATATACTATGTAAATATATAGTAATGTAGTTTAAATATCTATACTAATGAAAGAGATGTTTATCTTGTTAAATTCTAATTTATGATATGTTTAAATATGTGTATTAATATATTATATTTATATATGACTTGTTTTGTATATTTTATTGTAATTGTATTATTTAGATATATAATCTGCTTTATTTGAATGGATTTTACCATTTAAAACTATATAAATTGCTTGATCTGCATTTTACCTGTATAATCTCTTTGATATATATATCTTTTCTGCATAGTCCACATGATTTATATTTGTTTTATTTGATCTGTATGATCTGCATGACTATTATGTACCGTTTAAATTGTTTTTACTATTCAATACCTAAACAAATCAAAATTAGACTAAACTGGAACAGGAAGGCCAAAAAAAAAAGACATAAGCGTGAAGAAGTATTAATAACATACGCCGCAGCCAAAGAGTGGGGTCTGCCAACGACTTGGATTGGACCATTGTTTTCAAGCAGACGATACTACACGTCTACAACTATTTAATTATTTTCAATTTATTCTTTTTGTAAAAATATTATTTTCAATTTATAAAACAATACAACTACAATATCCATTATTAAAAAGTATTTAACAAGACCCCAAAATACACTATAACAATTATCCTTTTTTCTTTCTTTTTCTTATCTTTGCAAAAAAAAAAAAAGATTATAACAAAAGTTTATATCTTATGTTATACGTTCATATTATACACATAACGATCTTCCCATGTCTACTTATTTAACTATTTCGAGATTCTTATGCAACGGTAATATAATTTAGATGACATGATGCATCAAAGACTGAAGAAACGTACGCACACACCTACTCCACCGGAGGAGGTAAATTAAGATCCAGATTGACAGACGACGAGTCAGACTCGCTCTCGACCCCACACGTATCACACGCCGTCATGTTAAAGCAGTAAACGGGACGTGCAACAGGAGGAAGGGCAACAGGAACCTGACGATAACATGCGCCACTGCTGCCGCCACCTAAGTTGAGTTTGGGCTGCAGAGGTGCTACCCTTCGTGCCGTCGGGGAAGAGACCGAGTGGGTGGTCCTACTTTGACTAGGACCACGAGTATAACCGCTGCCTTTTACCTGAAGCTCAAGAAGTGTCGGGAAATTTGTCTTAGCATTCGTGCCGCGTAACTCACGTGCTGCAGTGTCGTAGGCACGGGCCGCCTGCTCAGCAGTGTGGAAGGTACCAAGCCAAACCCGGATTCTTTTAACCGGGTCTCGGATCTCCGCTGCATATCTTCCCCATGGACGCTTCCTCACACCTCTGTAATGAATCTCTTCAACATTGCTCTTGCTCGGGTTCGGCTTGGGTTTCGAACCACTCTTGCTCATTATAATCAAGAACAAGAAGTACAATGAAAGAGTCTTGTAGTAATGAGTAGAGGAGCTCTCTTTTTATAGTGCGAGAGAGAGAGAGTAAAGCCAAAACTCCTTTTAGGGACCTTTCTGTGAACAGTCAAAACCATTTAAATGGTTTATTACAGTGAACCCGTTTTTTGGTTGTTGTTTGCATTATTATCCACGTGTTTACGCCCTTTTTCTTGCAAAGATTCTTATTTTCTACCTCGAGTTCTTTCTTTTAATTATTAATCTTAAAATGTGGACTGCACGAATAGTTCAACTACGTATGGTAAGTGCAGTTGATATTTAACTCATTTAAACTGAAGTTACTGGCTTAAGAATGCAAATTGGTTTGAAACCCATATTGATTCTATATAGAATATGTTATTGGGAAGCTTCCATATATATATATATATATATATATTGATTCCGAGTAAATGATTTGGGTGTCCACATTTGTGGAAAGAAAGAAAGAAATCAGATTCATAATTTTCAGCCTGTTGATCAAAAAAAAAGTTTCAGCCTATTGTGTAAAAATACTAAAGTTACAATATCACATAACCACGAGATGGTTACAGTCTCAATTAAAATTGGTAAATACAATTAGAAATATATTTATATCAAACAAAATTATAGGGTAAGATGAAAACATATTTATTATGCCGAACCAAATTTTCGGATATTATCTAATATAACTAAAAAGGAAAATATAGCTAATCCAGATAATTTTTTAGTAAATGAAAATTTTGATTATATTTGAATAAATTAAAGAATATAGTAACAAAATATTTCTATTTCTATTTTTTTTAGGATACAACTATAAAAAGAAAAAACATTACACCGAGTAAGGATATAACGACAAAGTATATTATATTAAACAAATTATTAGATACGATAAAATACCCAATAAAATCCATGATTAACAACAAATATGTTTATCAAATTATTTTGTCAGATAACGAAAAAAAATATATTTGGAAGAAAATTAACGGATACAACTATACAAAATAAACTTATTATACGAGTAAATTAGCGGCTACGAGGACAAAATTTATTATTACAAACAAAATAGTTAGATACGATAAAAAGTATATAAACAAAATTAACGGCTATGACAACAAAATATTTTATCAAATCATTTTGTCGGACACGGGCTATAAAAGAAAAAATATTATACCGAGTGAATTAGCGGTTATAACAAAAATATATTATATCAAAAACATTATTTGATACGATAAAGGTTCTATACTAAATTAAGTTAATTAACCGTTAGAAAAAACAAAATAAATAATCAAACCATTTTGTCGGGTACAACGATATAAATATTATACCAAAAACATTTATGAGTTTTGACAACAATAAAAATTATTATATTGAATAAAATTGTAGGAATTTACAGTTAAAATGACCATTACAAATGTTATTTTAATGTGACTATTTATATTAACTCTTAGTCGCAATGAAATCATATTCGAATAGGCATAAACCAAAATATATTGGTGAAATATATATTATATAATCAAACTTAATTTTGATGTGTTTTATTTAATAATTTTTATGTGTATATTGTAATTAAGGAGATATTTTATCATCCTAAAGTAGTTTTTAAAAATAGATTTCTTTGTTGCATGTAAAATTTTTGTATTGTGAAAATCGTATATGCACTTAAAAATGATTTTTGTTTAAGAAACAAATAGGTTATACTAAGATAGATAAAACTGCCAAAAAAACCTCAAACTTTAAAAAAAAAAGCCAAAAAACCTTTAATTTTGGTTTGAGCAAAAAATGCATAAATTTTCAAATATTGACTATTTTAACTCTCATTTTTTGTTGTCTTGGGTATTTTAGAATGATGATGAAGATGATATTGCGATTGATCAGAATGATAATGAGTCCTAGAATAATGGTATTGGTATCGAAGAAGAAATATTAATCAGTTTTAAAACGATGTTGTTAAGTAAGCTAACAAACGTTTACTAGTTTAACAATTGACTTTTACTCATTTCTAAAATGGCCAAGTCAACAAAAAATAATATTTTAAATTGCTAGTATTTAAAAATTTGAGTATTCTTTTGGCTTAAACATGAGTTTAAAGGTTTTTACGATTTAATTTGAAAGTTGAAGGTTTTTTTAGCTGTTTACTCTACTAAAATATCATAACGTAGATGTTAGATATACTCCCGTATAAGTCTTTTTCTTACAAGTATCGATTTTGGAATTTCACATAAAGAAAGAAAACATATATTTTTTTCTTATATTTTTACTAATAACTACAAAATGTTTCTTATTTTTGACTAATAAATTACATAAAGTTTCCTCTAATTTATAAGCCGAACTACTTGGTTAAACTTGAATTTTCTTTTTTAAATATACTAACGTGAGGTAAACAAGCTTTAGAATGATGTTAATTTAATAATTACATTTTTGCAAATATGTGTGCAAGTAAAAAAATATTTTGTATCAATTAGTTAGTCGTTGTTTTCCAGGTTATTTTTTGCAAAGTAATCTTGGTCAGTCTTCACAATGTGTAATTATGAATTTAAACGATCATAAGCATCTAAACTACAAGATAAAAATCTGTTCACTGAAATTGAACAAATGAAACTGTCCTACAAATACTTTTTTTTTTTTAAAAAAACTGTCGTATAAATATATTTTTTTCTTTAAAAAAAAACTAAAAAGATAAAAGAAAACTGACATGTAGTGTTGACACAAAAAAAACTGACCTGTAGTGTTAAACACTATAAATTTATATTATGGGAAATAAATATGGAATCCAGATTATTAAAGAGACAGATTCTGGCGTTATATAACTACAACATGACGCAACGGCTCATCAAAACCTGATAAGCTTGGCTACTTGGCACAATTATGAGGACGCGCGGCCCAAGAACCACGTTTTATTGAAAGATCGCGTGAATTCACGTCTTAGTCTCACTTACGTCGCTCGAGAGCCGTTACAAGGAATCGCTTGAAAGAGCCTTGAGTGTTTGACAGATCCCACGGTGATGTAAGCAAAAGCAGGCGCCCTTCGCTTAATAACGCAAAACTTGGGTCTCATCTCTTTCTATTGATCACGTGGTAATGAAAACACGTGACTTACGATTAAGCAAGGAGGCAGAGAGAGACAAAACGAGTCCACGTCGGTTAACCACAGATGTAGATGGTGGGTCTACGCCAAGTGTTCTTCTCCTTTTTCAGCTTATTGTGAGTGTTATTTTTCGTAACGACTCGGTCAACACTCAACAGTCGACACTTAACACATCTACTTGTGTCTTTTCTTCTTAAAACTACTAATGTCTCGACGCTTTTATCAATGGATTGAGTTATCATGTGCCCACGGATTGAAAAAAATTAAACATCTTTATCATTAGACTAGTATATTTAATTATTTACTCACAACTGTAACACTGAATAATACAAAAAGGTCATTTTCTTTTGCATGCACCTGGTATGAAATTGAAGTGATCAAATTTCCAATAATTATACATTGGAGTTAATCCTTTATATAATAGTCTTGGAGTATTATAACATTTTTGATAGTCACGTGTCATAGTGAGAATGATTTTTAGAAATATGTTGGTCCAACTAATATATATATCACAATCAATGATTATAAATAAGAAATATTTGATAACAATTTTTTATCCTCTTACTTTTTATTTAATTTCATGTTATTAAAAGAAATTAAACAATCACATTAATTATATAATAAAAATTAGATTTTTTCTTATATGTTATATTTTGATTTTTTTTTAAAACAACCATAAATTATTAAAAATGGTAAAAATCTCACATTATATTTTTTATGATCAATAGTAACGTTTTTAATTCAACCAATCGTTTTTAATGAGTCTTAAACATTTTTTAATCATTTACTAAATGGATCACGTACATAATAAAGTGTGTTTTTGGTTTTAAAATTGCTGCATACCGAAAATCAACATTAACCATCATCTCTTTTGTATAAAATTTTGTTACAATAAAAAATATAAAGTTGGACAAAAAAACTGAATCCAAATAACAGAACCAAATCTAATCCAAAAAGTAGTATAGATCTTTAACCAAAATTGGTTAGATATCCAAATGGATTCAAAATTTTGGTATCTAGAGAAACAAAACTGAATTGAAATATTTCCGTTATCCAAGTGTACTCGAACCAGATTTAAATATGTAAATAGATTTATTATTTTTAAATGTAACATCTACATGAGATATTTTAAAATTTTCCAAAGTACTTAGAAATATATAAAATAGTTAAATGTACATTTTTAAAATAGTTAAACGATACTTCAAATACCAAAAATACTTGAAATATTTATTCATTTTTTGTCCAAATATTTAAGATAAACCAATTGTATGTTAAGTTTAAGTATTTTAGCATTCATTTTTCAAATTTATATGTTATATATAATTTTTATTTTTAGATTATGAGAAATTTAAAGTATAGATGAACTTTGATCTTTTTCACAAAAAAAGGAAAAAAAGTTATTCGAACCTAAACCCAAACAGAACCTGTAAAGAGTCAGACCAATCCCTCAAAGATCTAAACCAAACAAAATCTAACCAAACCAAATAGTATCCGAATGTCTATCTTTAATCAAATGTAAAAAAGATTATTGATAACAAAATATGTATTTAAATACAACATATTTTTAAAAGTTCACTCCGACGGGTTATCATCTACAGTATCATATATTAATCCTTCCTCAAAAAATTATCATATATAACCCTAACCCTAGAATTAAGACGAGGCCAAGTCGTAACGCTTGAGCATGAGTACTCTACATATTCTTCGTGCGTTATCAATTGATACCAAGTTATTTTGTTTCAGTTTGTGATGGGCATAATGAGATGTGTCACGTTCATCAATTTTGTAAAAATATAATTATCCAGCATTAAAAAAAAATACATAACGGACCGGTAATTCACACATTTATTAAATATATAGATATATAGATGGTTCAGAAGGCAAAAAATATTTTGGGCCA